GCCACAGGTGCTTTTCTGACTCTGGTAAACGTACTTAAGAAGACTTTGGGCACAAGAAAGGGCTGAGAGAGTGAATCTGGTAAACCCAATGCAAACCTGTGTGGGAGAGAAAGGAAGACAGATGGCCCGCTGGCAGGAGATACATCTCAGGAAAGCAGAAGACATTTACAATGCACCATTTTTAAACATGCCAGAACCATTTCAAGATTATCAGCTTCAAGCTTGGATGGCTGTAAGCACTGCAGAAATTATATCATTCATCCTGCCATTCAGAAATATTTACAGCATCAAACACGTACTATCTACTTGGCACTGGCTATGCGGAGGTGAGCAGGTGGCGTCTGTGCCTACACAGCTTACTGCGCACCTTCTCAACTGGGACAGCGTCATCCTTGGGGACAGGAAATCTGTCCTTGGGTGAGATTACAAAAAAGAAAAAAGCATACTCTTTCAATGTACAAAACACAGACATACAGGCTGTACATGGATACACAGTATATCTGTGGTAATAAAATGTTGTGGTAAGAAGTGATTAGGAAAAAAAGGACATAGTTACAATATATATTTTGCCTTACAAATGCAGGCAGTGTGGACTAATTGTATATGCCCTCATATTAATCAGAAAAAAAAGACTCCTAAGGAAGACAATATGGCTGAGAAACACTCATCTACTGGGAAGAAAAGAAACAAGCTATTCTAATGCAGTATGCTAATTGCAGTGGTGGGAGATACAGAAGGATATGGTTATATAGACCAAGTTGTACCTCATTTGGTACAGAAGGGGAAGTCAGGGAAGGCTTCCTGGTAGAGGGGACACCGAGGCAGAGAGGTGAGAGATGACCAGTTGGAATTTCACACAAGTGGGTAGAAATCTGTATGCTAGTATCAAAGCAGAAAAAAGGTTTATGCAAAAGTCCTGGAGAATCACTTCCACAGACTTTTATTAAGGAAAATGTATATAAACTCCCAAATTATGTAGTTTGGCTAATTCAGCTAATTAATTTATGAAGTCAGGGGACAGAAAAAAAAACTGATAACTGAAAGCTCACACAGTTTTGGGTTTCATGTGAGCCCTCTCTTACATAAGGCCTTGTCTTTCATTCATCTGCCATTGTTCTAGGGAAGCCCTCACTGCCCCCCACCAGAGAATTCCAGCATCTCAAAATTCTCTCCCTTTCACCATCCCACAGCACCACAACAGCAGAGAGCTCTCTGGAAGTATCATGCCAAATTGAGCTGCCTAGAGCAGCCCTCATGTATACTCCTCCACTTCAGATCTTCACACTTATCCAAACCAGTTCCTTAGTCAGCCAGTTAAGAGCTCGTAGAATCAGGCTTTAAATTACTGAATGGAGGGAATTCAGGTATGCCCGTAGGTGAATCGTTCTTCAACATTTAGAAGCTAATGAAAAGCACAGCACTCTCATTCATCCAGTCACAAATATTTAGAGTGTCTGCTATACGTGTGCAGGTACAGTCCTAATCACTGAATCCTGGACAGAACAGACAAGGCCTTTGGCTCATGGAGTTTGCTTTCTCAAGGAGCAAAGGCAAATAGAAAATGCATGAACAAATAAGTATGGTAGAACCTCTGTAGCTGACACCTCCCCACACTGACCTCCTCCTAAAGTTGACCTAATTTTTGTAGATCAGACACACATCACATGCATGTATCAGGCCGCCTATTTCTGTACGTTGACCATCTCCAATGTTGACCAGTTTGTTGCAGTCCTGGGGAAAGGAGTCAAGTTATAGAAGTTCTACTATATATATATATATTTTTGAGACAGAGTCTCACTTTGTAGCCCTCAGTCGAGTGTGGTGGCATCATAGCTCACAGCAACCTCAAACTCTTGGGCTCAATTCTCTTGCCTCAGCCTCCCAAATAGCTGGGACTACAGGCACCTGTCACAATGCCTGGCTATTTTTAGAGACGAGGTCGCCCTCTGGCTTAGGCTGGTCTTGAACCTGTGAGCTCAGGGAAATCCACCCACCTCGTCCTCCCAAAGTGTCTACTACAATTCTAATAATAAAATTTAATGATGAATATTATGAAGCAAATCTAAAAAAGGTAGAATGGGTTAAGAAGTGGCTTTAGGCAAAGGGATGAGGGAAGAGGGTGACATCTGTGCTAAGACCTGAATGATAAAGAACCAGCTATGTGAGACTATCAGAGGGAAGAGTGCCAGGCACAGGGAACAACCCTGCAGTGCAAAGGCCCTAAGCTGCAAATGAAAATGCACAGAAGCAAAACTGACAGTGGATACACATATATGGCTATATTGTCATTGAAATATCATTTTTGGCATTGTGATTTAATAGATTTTGCCACCCTACACATGCCTTCCAGGAACCCCACAATCTCCCTAAATCCAGCAAAGTATAGAGTTCACATTTCTAGAAGACTGCTCCTCTGAACTCTGGCTGGTTTCAAGTTGACTGGTTGGTATCTATGTCATAGCATTATTAAGTATTTCTACAATTACCTCTACCACAAAGCATAATATGCATGAAATTGTCCTACAGCTTTAAGGGTGGACCTAGATGCTCTCAAATTCATCCTGTATCCTTGACCAAGAATCATTTTATCTGCTAATTAGGTGACAGCATTGTAGTTGTTCATCAGATGAGAAACTTATTTCCCGGGCTTTACTTTTAGTTCTGCCACTTAGTTATGGGATACTAGGCAAGTTGCCTAAAATTTCTGTCCCTCAGTTTCCTATAAAATGGTAACAGTGATAGTACCTCACAAGGTTTTTGTGAAGATTTAGTGAGACATGAAAGACTTTGGCATATTAGAAATTATTGCATGCAATCCTTAGATCATGAATTCCCACTAACCTGTGCCAACCACCCCACTTTAACTTGCTGTTTTCTCCATTTAATTTGGCCAAATTTCCACCAGCTTACAAACTTCACATTAAATGCCATAATCACCACAAAACTAGTGGTTTTAGCTTCCAAAAAAGCCATGTCTCTCTCCTAAATATTGTCCAGCATATTGTTTATACAACCAGTCTAATCAGTTACTGTCTTATCAGGTAATTTTGCATATATGTTTTGTAAACTTTGCTGGAATATAAATTCATTTAGAGAAGTACTATCCCAAAGAAATATAATTAGAGACTTAAGTAATTTAAAATATTTAGTAGTTACATAAAAATAGCTTTAAAAGGTAAAATTAATTTTAATAACATTTTATTTAACTTGATATAACCGTAGGCTCAATCAATATACACAACTAATTAATGACATAGTAT